GCCCTCAGGGTCGGCAGGCGGGGGGGTCATCTGTCTCCCCCTGAGTCTGCAGCCCTGTTTTCCGGGTGACGCTGGGGTTCGCAGAGGTCCACACTGCTTGTGACCCGACAGGAAGCGTGCAAATAATCACCGTCTTTCCCCAGTTCCTTTAGGATTAATTTCTGACCACGGGGCACCGTGCAGGACACAAGCGGCTTAAAGGGATCGCAAGGCAGCACATCGCTAAAGCCAAACCCTCGCTCAGTCCCCTGGCTGGTTAGTGAGGCATCTCCTGTGTTCTGCACAGCAAGAGACGCAGGGGAGAGAGAGCCTGGACTACTGGACTTCAAACCTCAAAGCCCGTCTGTACTTTGTGAAACCGAGGCCAATCTAATCATATGGTGTGTGTCGTCTCCTCTCTCTGGGCACGCGGCCTGGGGGGAAGCAATTGACAGGGAAAGGAGCAGAGACATTGTTTCTTGATGTAAAATATCTCTGAGAGAGGAAGCGTGGTCCAGTGGTTAGGGTGCGAGGCGGGGCCTGGGGAGACCTGCTCTTCAATGGGATCTGGGCAAGTCACACCCAGGTCCTCGCATCACTATTAATCCTGCCCCTCCAGGGAATCCTGAGTCCAGCTCTCCTCGGGTTCAGCCCAGTTTATAGGGCATGAGGCTGCCAGCCCTTGGCTCTGAAGCCTTCGCCCTTGGTGGGCCAGGCCTGCCCTCCGCCCAGGGACCCGTTTGTTCAGCCCCTCTGCTGCATCCCTGGGTTGCTTCCTGCTGGGGCCTTCCCCAGTCTCTTCCCGGCTGGCTCTTCTGCAGGTCCCGAGACGTAGGGGAGCCGAACGCGTGAGGAGAAACAAAAGTCCTGCCCCAGGGAGGCTCTGGTCCCAGCCCCCAGCAGGTCCTGCCTTCTAGGCAGCCCCGAGGCAGTCTCTGGTTCGGTTCTGGCCCCAGCCGAGCTCGGGAGCTCCCCTCCCTCCAGTCACCACGGCTGAGCTGGGCCTTTCCTCTTGAATCTCCTCCCTCCAGGCTCCGCACCGGGCACAGGGTGCAACGGGGTGGGGCTGGCTGGGCCCACAGGCCCCCATTACCCCCTTCCTGGTCAGCGTGGGGCCTGTACCCTATCCCGGGTGCCTCACGTCCATTGAAATCAATGGGAGTTAGGCACTGTGGTGGGATGTCTCCTCCGCCAGCCCCAACCCCTGCCCCCCGGCCATGGACACTGCTACAGATTCACAGTCCCAGTCTCGAGGGGGGGACGTACGGGGAGTGGTCCCAGCCGATCCCAGTCTTTCAGGTGGGGGAGAGGTCCTGGCCTTTGGGGATAGGAAAGGAGCTGATTGAAGGTGCCAGTGCCCACCATGGGCTGGAGAAGAGACAGCAGTTCCTCCTGGAGCTCCGGCCCCTGACACACCGCCCCCCCACCACACACACCCCTGGCTCCTTGCTTCCCAAAACCCAGGGCCGCCAGCCCCTCCAGCTGCTTCCTCTCCCCCTTCTGCGCCCAGCCTGCTCTGGGAGGAGAGACGGCGGCTCAGCGAGGACATACGGGTGCCAGGGGGCAACACAAAGTGCGGGAACCCCTTACACACACACACTGCTTGGCAGGTAACCCGGGCCCCTCCTTAGGACAATTCTGGTTCTGCCTTTGTCCTCCACAGTGGCAGAGCAAGAGTTAACAGCGCCAGAGAGCAATCAGTGCCCCCGGTTACACCTCAAGGGGGGCCGGGTTTAGGATCAGGCCCAGCTGAGGGCTGCCTAGGGGTGGTGGGTCCCAGGGGAGCAGAGGAAGGCCAGCAGGGCAGGAGAAGGGAGCTGGCCAGGCAAAGGGAAGCTACAGGAGTGGAGTGAGCTGGGAAAGGGCCAGACCCAGGGCGGCAGCCCGGGGCAAGAGGTTCTGACCAAAGAGCCGTGGGCAGACAGAACTGGGGGAGAGGCAGCCAAGGAGCTGGGTCTGGAGGGGGCGTTGCTCTGCTCCGGAGCTGTACAGAACAGGGCCAAGCCTGGGGAGGGTGAGCCCACGAAGGGGCTGGGGAAAAGGCCTGGAGACAGGCTGAGGTGGCAGCAGATCTGAGCTTCGGAAGGTCCCTGAGCCGAGCGGTGTACAGACCACTGGGCCCAGAGTCGGGCTGAAGACCTGGACTATTGTTTGGGGGACTCCCTGTTACCCGGGACAGGGAGCCTACAAGGGACCTGGCCGGAGGGCAGAGTCGTGAGGAGAAGCAGACCAGAGCAGCTGTGGGTGGGGGTGCTGGGGCGAGACCCTGCTATGACACCCCAGTCACAAGGGGCATTGGGAGGATAACAAGGACTATCCCTTTGGTCCCCAGAGCTGATGAAAGTTCAAGGCCCTCAGGGCTGTTCCAGGTGGGAGGAGAAACTGAGGCTGGAGGCGGGTACCTGTGGCACAATCCTCTTTATTTACAAAGAATGTACAAAGCCTGTGTGTCCCGGCGCACAGGACGCAGCTGCCGTGTTCCCAGCACCGGCGCTCTGACCCCAAACCTCTCCAGGCTTCTCCCACGCACCCATCCTGCAGGTCGTGGCTGCTTTTCCCTGCTCGCCCTCTCCCTCCTTGCGTGACTGGCTCCTTGTGCTGTCTGACCCTCTCCACGCCCCCATGACACGCTGAGTCAGCAAACACCCCTCTGCCCAGTGGTGCCCTGATCCCGGGAACTGTATTATTTCACACATTTCACCGGAAGGAAAGGTAGCTGTTAACCTCAGCAGTTTCCGGGGGTTAACCCAATGATCCCGTAAAGATTGTGGGGCCAGCTAAGTACCTTAGATGGCTTTTGGTGTACAGCTCCCCGGGAAGGGCTCAGCTGTGCCAGTGCGGGGATCCTGCCTCGGGGAGTCCCAAGCCCTCCCGGAGCAGGGGGGAGATGCTCTTTTGGGGGTGTAGCGTACTCTCCCCTGGCTAAGGGTGCACCCGGCTTATGGTCCCCAGGCGGGTGTGGAAGGAGGATGGGGCCTGATCCCTCACCCCCCTGTGCTAAGACTCTGGCACAGCTGCGCTAACAAGAAATGGGAACAGGAGTCTCTGACATTAGCCCAGAGTCGACATCCCTGATGGCCAGGCTCGTGGTTACCCCCGTGGGGTGTCTTGTGCCCCCCCGGGGTGAGAACTGGTGCTGGGCGGATGTGCGAGAGGAACAGGAAGCTTCTTCAATACTGCAAACCCCAAGTGCTCAAAAATAATGCGTCAGGGCCCCTAAAATCATGCCTGGCCTGAAAGAAGCATAAGATTGCTTCACAAAACACACGCATGGGCTTCTTTTTATTTGTTTTCTGCTTTTTGAGCCTTTCGCGTTTGTGTTTTCAGCCCTGGGAACTAGAAACTGACTTGCATTTTTTAAATGAAAGCTGAGAGTCTCAGATGATCACCTGACTCCAGGAGCTGGAGCTTGGAGAAAGACAGAGACTATTGCTGGAGCTGGCAACGCTGCTTCTTGCCTCCTTCGGGCTTACGTGAGACTCCAGTAGAACACAAGCCCTGAGCTGGCTCTGTTTGAGAGCAGCAGAGCGGGGATGTAACATCCATCAACGGTCACTAAAAATCTGCGGCGCCTGGGCAGGCAGCAGGTTCTTAGTACAGGGTATATCTCAGTGGCTGGCAGCCTCCAGTTCATGTCTTCGGATGCTCATGAGTGACCCCCGCAAGCCAGCCCCCCTGCCTGCACCTCCCAGCACAGCCTGCCCCTGCACGAACCATGATTCCTGGAGCCCGGCCTGTAGCAGAGAAGATGCTCAGTTACACAGTAGGGGCACTTGTCAGTGTCTCTGTTTTTAGACTGAGATTTCCAACGGAGCCTAGAGTTGGGTGCCTGAATCCCACTGAAAGTTAATGGGAGTCGGGCACTCCTCTGGGCTCCTTTCCAAATCTCAGACTTAATCCTTACAGTCAAAGAGCCAGTTTTGCTGTGGGGAGGTGCCTGAAGCAGACCCAATCTAGCCTTGTACGCAAGCGACTCCTTTCCTGAGACAGGCTCCTCAAATGGGGAGAGTCCCAAAGCCTGGGCTCCAGCCTGATCCTGGATGTCTATACTGCAGTGTCTAAGTCAGCTGACCCGGGCTAGCCACGGGTGTTTACTGCAGTGTAGACATACCCTTAAAGAGCTCCATCGGTTTGCCTCATCAAAAAGACTGAAAGGTGACTTGATTGCAGGGTACCAGTACCTCCCTGGGGAGAAAATAATGGGCACTTTAATCTAGCAGAGAAAAAATAATAACAAGAACCAGTGGCGGGCAGTTGAAGCCAGATTGTCACAAGCTGACCATGATGGAGTTGTCCTTGTAATGACTGACCCCAGCTGCAGGGGATCAGAGCACTGGCTGGTTAACCAGAGCTGTGAAATCGGTCTCACTCCAAACTCACAAATCTGGGTGGCTGGGCAACAAAATGGCAGATGACATTCAAGGCGGATCAATGCAAAGTGATGCACATTGGAAAACATCATCCCAGCTATATGTCTAAACGGATGAGGTCTAAATTAGTTGTTCCCACTCAAGAAAGAGATCTTGGAGTCATTGTGGATAGTTCTCTGCAAACATCCTCTCAATGTGCAGCGGCAGTCAAAAAAGCAAACAGACTGTTAGGAACCATTAGGAAAGTGATAGATAATAGGACAGTAAATAGCATAATGCCACTACATAAATCCATGGTACGCCCACATCTAGAATGCTGTGTGCAGTTCTGGTCGCACCATCTCAAAAAAGATGTATTAGAATTGGGGAAAAGTACAGAAAAGGTGTGGTATGGAACAGCTTCCATCTGAAGAGAGATTAATAAGACTCGGTCTTTTCAGCTGAGAAAAGAGATGACTAAGGTGGGATATGATCGAGGTCTATAAACTCATGAGTGATGTGGAGGAAGTGAATAAGGAAGTGTATTTACCCCTTCACATAACACAAGAATCAGGGTTTACCCAATGAAATTAATAGCCAGCTGGTTTACGACAAACAAAAGGAAGTATTTCTTCACACAACGCACAGTTAACCTGTGGAACTCATTGTCAGGGGATGTTATGAAGGCCAAAAGTATAACTGGCTTCAAAAAAGAACTAAATAAGTTCAGGGAGGATCGGTCCAGCAATGGCTATTTGCCAAGATGCTCAGGGATGCAGTCCTATGCTCTGCGTGTCCCTACGCCTCTGACAAGGGGACCGATGGTGGGACTGGACAACGGGATGGATCACTCGATAATTGCCCTGTTCTGTTCATTCCCTCTGGGGCACCTGGCATTGGCCGCTGTCAGAAGACAGGATATTGGGCTAGATGGACCATTGGTCTGCCCCAGTCTGGCCAGTCTTATGTTCTGGGGAGTTCCCTTTCTGAGAAGGGCCTGGGGGAGCAAGGCTGGCTCAAGGAAGGCTCCCGACAAGAGCACTGAGCCAGGGCTTTCAAGGAGCAGGGAGATCCCTGTGGGAAGCTGCCAGAGTCCTGGGGCAGGAGAGGCAGTGGGGAGAAAGCCTACGAGGAGGAAGGAGCAGCGGAGAAGCTCGGCAGGGCCCAGGAACAGGGGCCGAGAAGCAGGGAATGTCAGCGAGCCCAAGAGAACCAGACGCAGTATTATTCGGACTTTCAGTTGGACCTTTCGTTACTGTGGAAGGGGCTGAACTTAAGAGGAAGGCCCAGGGCTAGGCCAAGGAAGTGGCCACCAGAGGTTGGCCGGGGCAAAATCCCCTGCAAAACAGCACCCTGCTGGCCGGGGGCACTCTGGCAGGAAGAGGCCCGCCTTACACAGACACATTCAAATTAGCAATAAGACCACAGGGAGGGCGATTAACCATTCGAACAAACTCCCAAGGGAAGCGGCAGCTTGTCCATCTCTCCATGTCTTCAGATCCTCACTGGTGGCCTGGCGGAAGGCATTCCTTGGCCACACACAAGTGGCTGGGCTCAGGATGGGGGGAACTGGGTGAAATTCTCTGGCTTGTGCCACACAGGAAGCCAGACTGGATGATCTCCTGGCCCTATGAACTCTGAATCTATGAACTGCCTGGGAAAGCCAGCAGCATGATTCACGAGCCATAGTGCCAAAGAGGAGCGATAAGGCCTATATCAATGGGACCCCCTGACTCACAGCCCCCTGTCTCTGGGGCAACTTCTTTCAGCACTTCTGCTGCTTTACTCTCACTGTTCACCCAGGGTGAAATTGGCCCCGTGCAGACGGCCCAGACAAGCCCTATGTGCTCAGGTGGGACTCCCTGGGGCTGGTGAATTTCACCCTATGAATCTGACATTGAGCTGACGGGCAATCAGCATGGGGGCTCGTCAGACTATGCTGGTTCCTGGACTGGTCTGAGTCTCAGGATCAGCGCAGCGACAGGCTGCACTCTGGTTCTTAGGGTTATGAGGGACTACTTTTTTACAAAAGATGGAAGAACACCGAACAGAAAGCTGCTCTTATATTCTCTGTATAAATAGTTCTCCCAGGGGGTTGGCAAAGGAGTCCGTTTCCCTGCTGCCTGCCCTCTTTGCTCCCAGAATCTAAGCTCTCGTTTAAAAACAAGTTTCTGGCCTTTATACTGGAGTAGAAAAGCATCCAGTTGTGACCCTGAGTCCTCAGAGAGCCTGAAACAACAACTCTGAGAGAAGCGTCAATGGTTCTATTGACGCCGATGGGTGTTAACTCTGAAACCTAATGGTGACCATTTAATTGTCAACATTATTAACTATTTCTCTGCCAACAAACTATGTGAGGAAGGGGAGAGGAAAACCTATTATGGAGGCCTGCCCGCCTGCTGTGAGCGGTGCTTCTTGGCATTATGAAAGAGCTGAGCCGCGATTGTTGGTACAGTTTGAGTTGTGGACGGAGCTTCTGCTTTGACCCCGACCTCTCTGGAGGACAATAAAAGGCTGTACTGGCCAGAGCTGAGCCTCTACATTCTCACCGACAGCTGCTGAATCTGTTGCGTTCAGTGCACACCCCACCTGTCCTTTATCTCTGTGTAAAATGTACATCTACCGTGGCAGGCACGTGGTCTGTGACTTATTGCAGCCACATGCCTAGCTGCTCCTTGCACTGCAGGTGGGTAACGGAAGAGCTGTCCTGTTTAGAAACAGCCGCAGCCTGGAGAGAGAATCCAGGGGGTCGCTAACTCCCAGTGTTTTATTTCTCACCGCTCCTTCCTCATCTAGGAACCGGAGGTGGAAGGGGAACCTCTCTCCTCACGCTCTGTACTCAAAATAGCTGTCTCTGACTTCTCTCTCCTGGGCGGTCACCCTCTTCCCTGAGGGGAAGGTTTGGTACGTCCGCAGATTCTCTGGAGACACGCGGAATAAATGCCACTGGGTCTTCGCGCTCAGAGGCGGGCTGGGGAGAAACAGAAGAGCAGAACGTGGGTTACACAGCTCGGGATCAGCCCCTGAAAGCTCAGCCCTGCCCCAGATGTGTCCAATGGGAGAGGAAGGGTGGGCAGGGGACACATGGAGCCTTGCACAAGTGAGTTCACTGGGGTGCGTACGTGCTCACTGGTGCAAATACAGGGTGCACAGTCTGGCCCTGACTGCAAAAATGTTTAGGCGGGTTGGAAAGGGAAATCCAGTTGGTTATCACAGCTGGAGTCCCATGGATCTTCTCAAGCGCTCTTGGATCACACTTGGTGGAGGACCAGGATGTGTGTGTGTTTGCAACAGCAGGTGGTAAATTATGTGTGTATCTTAGGCTCTGCTTGTACAAACACACCCATACAGCCCTGAGTATCCTCCCATTTCATTCTACTCAGAGACGGCATGCAGCGCTCGCTCAGGGGTTGGCCCTAGCCCCCCTTCAATCTACACACACAGCCCTCTCTACTTTCAACCTGGGCTAGCTCGGTGGGTGCGTTAGAGCCCCAGGGGCTGCTTTCACTGAAGCTGGCAACCCACCCTCTCGAACGCTGCCAGTCCTCCGGTGCCTTCCCCCAGGCAGCCTGGGTGCCCAGAGGGTCAGACAAGCTCTCCCACAATTCCCTAGGAAAGAATCACAGAGCCCCGCAGGAGAGCCTGCAACGCTCATGGGATGGGGGGGCCCGATGTAACACCAGTGAGGACACACTAATGCGGGTCTGGCTTTGCAGTGCGGCTGGTGTGAAGACATGGGCCAGTTCACACTCTCCAAGGGTCACATCCATGTTCAAGGGGCTGAAAATCAGCCCAGCTTAGTTTTCATCTTGATTCCTTTAGGCTTGTCTACATGGCAAGTTACGGTGCTGCCAGACAGGATGTGAATCTGCAGTGCACCTGACCATCAATTTATCCTCTGCTCAGCTCTAACCCAGGGCGCCATTTCAGATGTTGGGGGGCAACTTTAACCATGATTCCAAAGGCTACTTGGGCACCTGAAAACTCTTGTTTTTTTGCAGATAATAACTTAGATACAGTGCTCCTGTTGGATAATAATTTCTAATTCCTATGTAAAGAAAGAAAATTAAATAAATACACCTCTACCCCGATATAACGCTGTCCTCGGGAGCCAAAAAAACTTACCACGTTATAGGTGAAACAGCGTTATATCGAACTTGCTTTGATCTGCCGGAGCGCGCAGCCCCGCCCCCCGGAGCGCTGCTTTACTGCGTTAGATCCGAATTCGCATTATATCGGGGTAGAGGTGTATTAGACCCACCCAGCTCTAATACTTGTTGCGCCAATTCACTTAAGGGACACTGGTTAGGTTTAAAACATTAATATATATTCTTACTTTGTTACTAACTCTTGAATATAACAATTGTAGAAAAACCTAGATCACTTTCTATCACTTTTTTGCAGTTCATCAAGCTTGGGATAGAGCATTTAACTTTTGGAAACATCCTATTAGAGCCAGGCCCCGGGAGTTTATACTGCACCTGCCTGGGGCTCTAGGGGTGTTACCCCACTACAAATAACAGACTAGAAACTGACTTTAAACAGGAGTGAAACTGACACTTTCAAGTCACTTTCATAGTATTGCCGACCCCAAATGTTCAAAAATCAGGCTCACCAAAAATCATGAGATTGGCTTTAAAATATTGAGATTATGTAAAAATAATGGATTTATTGGCCTTTTTATTTACATTCTGCTTTTTGAGCCTTTAAGGTGCCCTGGAGTCACATTTTGAAGCTGTTCCCACAGCCGCAATGGCTAGAAACTTCATTTTTCTTTAAGAATGAAGGCTGAAATCATCGCATATCACTTGATTCCAGGAGCTGGGGCTTTAAGGAAAACAATAATTATCATGAGACTCATGACACATTCATGAGAGTTGGCAACACTGCTTTCACTTCTGTTTAAAAGCTAACTACTTTCCAGAAGGCTCTTAAACACAACACTACAGTGACTGAGGTGCAGTTTTCACAGGAGAATATTTTAAGTCAAACACCAAGAAACTTCCACATTTTAAAGTTGGGGAAAAAAACGGAGACTTCTGAGGTATCTCAGGGCCACGGCAGGCAGGAAAGGAAAATAAACAGTCACAGGCGCTCTGGGCAGCTATTCCTCTTGAAAGAAAGTTGGAGGGTCAAATCTTCTAGCCCTTAATCAAGTAAAACTTCTATTGCCATCACCCCCTACACTCATAGATATAAACCTCACAGTGACCATGTGATAACATGTGGGATCAATAACTATACACTTCATACTTAAATATCTGAGCCGTCTTACCCAGAGCTACACAGCTTACATGCCTTGGCTCGGGGACTGGATTTTCTGGCCTATTCTGAACAGTGCTGAGCACACAGATGGTGCCCAGTGAATAATGAAAATCATGACAATAATGGTTGACTTTTTGGACTCTGTGGATGCAGTTTCTGTTCTTTGTTCTGGAATTGGTCTGAATACAGCTGACACCCTACGAATTTGATGTATGATCCCATCTGATACTCATCTGACACTTTCTCGTTCCTTCCTTTTCTCAAACTCAGAACAAAAAATGACCAAACAAAATGGTTTTCAGTCATGGGAGAGACCGGACACGCTTTCCTCATACACTGCTGTGACTACACCTCAGTTTTAACCTCCTGGGCTGCAGACAGCTCTGCCAATGCCTCTCAGGCCAGACCTGCAGCCCTTCCCCCTGCTGTCCGGCCCTAGGTCCCCCTATTCTGTCCTGGGCTAGCCCAGCCCTGGGCTCCCCACACACAGCCCTGACGGTGCCCCTCGAATCCTGATTTGAACCCTGCTCCCCCTGCTGTTCCGTTCCTTGGCCTCTCCGGAGCAGAGACTGACTCACGATGGATTAGCTTTCACATTGAACATGTTAGGAACCAGCATGGTAGTAATGGTCTTGCTTCGTAGCGACAAGGTGGGGGAGGGAATATCTTTTATCGGACTAACTTTGGAGGGTGAGAGAGACATGCTTTTGAGCCACGCAGAGCTCTGCCTCGGGTACTGCGCGTGTCAGCTAAATACAAGGCGGAATGGATGGTTTTGCTTGAGTAATAAGCAGGTGCTGTAAGGGACCATTCAAGGCAGAGTATGTCATAGAAACATTCTATTTCTAAATGGCTACTAAAGGGTTAATAAAGGATCAACAGACATTATAGACACTAGCAGTGTATGTTATCGATGGTGCTAAGCAATATGTGGATGACCTGACAGAGGTCTATAAACTCATGACTGATGTGGAGAAAGTGAATAGGGAAGTGTTATTTACTCCTTCTCCTAACACAAGAACTAGGGGTCACCCAATGACATTAATAGGCAGCAGATTTAAAACAAACAAAAGGAAGTATTTCTTCACACAACGCACAGTCAACTTGTGGAACTCCTTGCTGGAGGATGTTGTGAAGGCCAAGACTATAACAAGGTTCAAAAAAGAACTAGATAAATTCATGGAGGCTAGGTCCATCAGTGGCTATTAGCCAGGATGGGCAGGGATGGTGTCCCTAGCCTCTGTTTGCCAGAAGCTGGGAATGGGTGACAGGGGATGGATCACTTGATGATTACTTGTTCTGTTCATTCCCTCTGGGGCACCTGGCATTGGCCACTGTCCGAAGACAGGATACTGGGCTGGATGCACCTTTGGTCTGATCCAGGATGGCCGTTCTTATGTTCTTATGACCTGCCAGGCTCCATAACAATTAATTGGACAAATTAGATGAACAAAGACAGGCCGATGGACGCGCTTGATCACAGTCTATAAGTACCTACACTGGGAACAGAAATTTGACAATCGAGGGCTCTGGAATCTAACAGATAAATATCCATCAAGCTCCAATGACCGGAAGCTGAAGCTAGACAGATTCAGACTGGAAATAAGGGGCATTTTTTAACAGTGAGGGTGATTAATGATTGGAACAATTTTCTAAGGGTCGTGGTGGATTCTCCATCACTGGCAATTATTAAATCAAAACTGGATGTGTTCTGCCCTGGTTCAAGCAAGAATTAATACCGGGAAGTCCTGGGGTCTGTGTTATTCAGGAGGTCGGCCCAGATAATCACAGTGAACTCTTTTGGCTTTATAATCTATGCCCCGTGTATGAAAACATCTATTAATCATTTATCAACCCTTCGTAAACTATTTATAAAGGCAGCCTTAATACAAAGCACGACTGTTACGGCCCCGTGACTCTGTTATCAAGTGACTGTACCTCGTCTCAAAAACATCCTGGTTCCAGCAGACGTTTGCTTCCATCCAGGTTAAGGCCCAAAGGAACCATTAGCTCATAGCCTGACCTTGTTCCTTTCAACTGGACTCAGGAAGGGACATGGTTTGATAACCATTGAGAATGGGCTTGGTACGGGACACGCAGAGCTCAGCCGCTCTTCCTTCAGAGCCTAACCATGTATTTAGATCCCTGAGTCTGCCCTGTACTAATATATTTGCCCTTTGACACAACAGTGTGGGTGTGTTAGCTTTTGTGGCCTGCATCATGTGGGAGGTCAGACTAGATGATCATAATGGTCCCTTATGACCTTAAAGTCTATGAGTCTATGAGTCTTTCAGTCTTATTCCTTGCTTTCCAGGCACTGACATAAGGGGCCACTACACCAAACCCCACAAACACTGTAGGAATCCATCCCTGGGGAGTGGGGGGGTCATATGGTATTCAAGGAGCAAAATCGTTATCAAAGGCCTAAATTGCTAATACCATTAGTGACAAGCATGTGTGTTAATTTTAACGTGTGCTCCTTTTATCATTAGTCTAATGAGACCCCAGCATTACACATCAATGTGCATAGGAGAAAAATCTACAATGCCTTTCTCCTCCGCTGAAAGGGGTTTATGGGTCACAGTGGGTGAGCCCCCCGCCCGCTGCTGTGGCCACAAGAACGTACGCCAGCCTTGCGGTAGGGAGCAGGAGTCGGGGGGTGATTTTACCTCTGAATGCGGCATTGGCAGGGCCGGCTCCAGGCAC